ATGCCCTTGTGTTAATGCTTAATTTGGAATTACATCAGGTAAGTGTGCACTGTAGCAAGTCCACAAACCACAGATATGGACTTTGGGATAGGCCAGTTATTTATTTATTTATTTATTTATTTGAATGTGTCTTCCTTGGAAATTGAACTTTGTCTTTGGTGTTTTAGCACTACATTTTACCTTTCCATCCCTATAACTTTTTAGCCAGTTATGCTTTCAGGAAATCTGAATTGCTTTTTCTCCTGTATCACATCAAGCATGAGAGAAAAAGTGTCATAAATGAGTAACCCAAGCCATTGTTGCTCCACTGTTACTCCAGTGTTGCTGTTCTGTAATGGTTTACATTGTAAGCGTGATTTAAGTATAAAGTTAAAAGGCCTATAGTCAGCATATAACATTGATAACACTGGCCCATATTCAAAAAGCCTCTTGGAGTGCTGATTTAGGATCTGTTCCTGTTGGTAAAGCCATAGTAAAAAGAGAGGAATCTGATCCTAGATTAGCACTTGTACTCTGAGAAGCTTTGTGAATATGGGCCATTGTCCTTACTTAAGCTGCAGGTATCTGAACAGGCTCACACAAAGCAGTTTAAAACACTGTTACACGCATACACATATCACCATACACACTTTATTTGGGTGGTCCTCTATAGATGGTCTACAGATTCTGGTGATTCTGGTTGTAAACTTTCTGGTGATACTCAGTTGATTATCAGCAACATTAAGTTTAGGGTTAGGTTTAGGAACAGGTGTAGGTTTTACCTTGAGGTTAGGTTTAGGGTTAAGGTTAGATTTAATAGAATCTTTCACATGCAACTTCAAGTTCAATTGTATTTAATACATGTTTAGTTAAATAGTAGTTAAAAATAGACTGATCATGTACAAAGCGTCCACAGTGGCCCATCTAAATAAAGCGTTACCCCCAGCTAGGGCTGGACAGTAAAACGATAATTATCGCGATATAACTTTTCCTTGATAGAGCGATACAAGATGTTCGATAAATGTTCGATATAATACACCATTCTCACACTTCTACATTCTAGCGAAAGCCTTGGTGGCGTTTTCTACTGCAAGAAAAGCGACACTACTCTGCTGTCGCCAGGAGAGGGCGCACTTCTGAGTTTTTCTACATGATTAGAGAGGGAGGGGGCCACAAGTAAGATGAGTCTTTAGCAACGGCTGAAATGCGGAGTTATACAGTCCCTGTTTGAGTAGAGCGACAGGCGATCTGATCTCCTGTGACCGAGTGTGAGTGACGAGGTCAGTGGTGTAACTATACTGTCCTATAGCGAACTCACCTCTTTCTGTACATCCTAACAACTTTAGCGGTGTTAAATCACAATCCTCACAACTACAGCGCTGTTACAGCGCTCGGATAGTCATATTTTAGTATGAGTGCATTCCCAAGCAATGAAAGTGAAAGAAAGAAGTGGGTTCATGTAAATTACAGCCCTGATTGAAACGAAAGTAAACTGAGGAAGCTGTGAGGCATTGGAGAGAGGGAGAGCGCTAGCTTTCCAGGCTAGCTGCTTTTTAGCAGCTGGCTAACTTGAAACAGCGCTCTGTCACTCCACAACACAGAGAATTGATGATACTGTAGATCAAGCAAGACACAAAAGCACCGCTGTCAGTTTAAATGTACCTAAAAGGAGGACTCTGTTTGTCTGGTGTTGATATTTTGCGGTTCACCCCTTAAACTACTACGATAGTATAGAGATCCAGTCATCGTTAGCTGGTGTCTGAATACTGTGATGTCATTTGTAACGGGGTAGCCGAGCGCTCGTCACCAGCTAAAAATAATCTGTTTTCTTTCTTAAATTACGACTATTACAAAATAGCCATGCTTTTCCAGCTGGTAAAAACAGCTCACCAGACACTTTCTCCCACTCTCACATTACAGATTTGTGAAATGTTCCACTGTTTGGTGAGTGTTTGTTGTGTTCTGACAATAAAGGATAGTTTAAAACATCAATTAACCCCCCAGGAGCAAAAATCAGCCTTCAACCTTGAAAGAAATGATGATTTGACATTTATCGCGGTATGTATCGATATCGGACGATATGAATTTTGTTTATCGTGATAACATTTTTGGCCATATCGCCCAGCTCTACCCCCAGCACTGTAGTAAACACAGACATCAGAGTACAAATCAGTGTTTTGTGTATGAATGTGTGAGTCCTTTAGCAGCTGTGCAGCAATGCCTGCCACTTTTTTGACAGATGTGCCACTTTGTCTGCCAGATGTGTATTAGAGTGATTGTGGCAGTTCTAGACTGACACAGCCCAGTATGATTATGCCTGTGTACTGACAGTTGATACTAGGGATGTGCATGGGTACTCACATTTTGTTTAACTGCTCTTAGAGTTTAAACACTAAAACAACTATTTGGATATTTGTCAGGGAGAAAATATACAGGCCAGCAATTTGGTGAAAACCCAATTTATTATTTTACCAGGGCTATAAGTTGTGACAGTTTTGCTCATATTTGCTATCAAGTAACTAACATGATGAAACATCATCCACTGAAAAAAGAAGAAAAAACCTATGTAGAATGTAGAAGCCCATTAGAAATCATCAACTACTGGTTGATTAATTCATCTGGAGGAGCAATGTCCATTACCTAAGCCTCATCTGACATGAAAACCAACCAGTTTAACATGCACTGACCACATTTCACATTTTTGTACACAAAATCACATCTACATAATAAGAATAAAAATAAAAGGTAAATTGTAGACTATATACCTTATAAACCGAGTGTTAAAAAGTGGTAATATTATAAGAATTAACTGTGAACACTGGCTATATGTCAGATTCATCAGGCATTAAGAGCCATGGTATATCTGGGTTGCTGTCATCCCAAGTTTTTCATATTAAAAACTGTAATCCAAAGGTAGGATATCTATCACACTATTAGGTTAGTGATCTTGGTTGGTGAAGTCACAATGGTTTATTTATGTAACATTTTTCACTACCACAAGGTCACTTTACAATACAGCATGATAGTCTTAAAAATATGAAGCAGAGGAAGGAGAGAAGTTTTGTTTAAAGAGGAAAGGATGAGATAGTAGAAGTCCTGAAGAGATTGGAGGAGGAAGTTCCACAGTTTTGGGGCTATGGCACTGAAAGATCTGCCACCAAGAAAGTCGATTCTAGTTTAAGGGACTGCTGCCAGAGGACCTGAGGGTGGTGGAGGGGGTTGTTGGAAGGTTAAAGGAGCTCCGCAAGATATGCAGGGGCCAAACCATGAATGTTTGAAAGTAGTACTTGAGGCTAATCTGGCACCAGTGCAGCTGACTAAGAATGGGGGTAATGTGTGCAGTTTTTTGTTGTAGATAAGCACTCTAACTGCTGTGTTTTGAATGAAATCAAGATAATAGTATATAAGAGAGATCAGTGTTACCTGGTTTATGAATAGTAAAGTATTACTAGCCATTGTGTTCTTTTATACCATGTGAACACAGTAGACAAAGCTGGTGACATCATTGGCTTGTCTTAGGTGGACCTACATTGCTGTTATAATAAATCTAACAGTTTCCTATGTCCATCCAAACACGAACAGCTAGTAATCACGATTTGGTGAAGTGAATTCTTTTCAAGGACAGTCCGAACTTGTTTAATCACCCCAATCCTGTGTGAGTTTAATCAGGCATGTTAGAGCAAACAAAAGACAGAAAATGCTCAGTGCATGATGACTGAATACCATTGGAGTTGAGCTTAAATGGAAGAGAAAGGCAACAGAGGAGATGAGTTAGAGAGACAGATAACCGCAGAAATAGAAGAGAGATACGAAGAGAAGAGGAGAGGAGGATGGCAAGATGCTGAAATGGATAGGAAAGGAAGAATTAGAGAGAGGAGGTTTAAAAGAGACAGAATTGTAAGCAGAGTGAGAAAAGTGAGATGTCTTTGGTGCAGTGTCCTAAATCAGACAGCTTTGATTGAAGTGCCAGTCAGCCTGGGCTTCTCAATGCAGCAGAGTGACGAGATTACACTGCTTTACACCCCACATACCAGCACAGCAAGAGATTTGACTGTGTGAGCAGTGTATGTATGTTTGTGCATTTTATTATAGTCTGCTCTTCAGGGCTGACCGATATATCATTTGCATAACGATATCACAGTATGAGCATGCGCACCATTATTACTGCAAGAGTAATAGTAAGTAAGTAAGGCTAATTGTCTCTCTTAAATAGCCCCTACACTGTATCTGAGTTTTGTTAAATAATTTAAGAAAAAAAAAAGGTTTATTTATTTTAATTATTTTGTTTAAATTATTTAATTTACTGTTTTCCAAGCAGATTTGCGTTAGCTGGTAAATCGGTTTTACCAATTTACCAATCAGTAAAAACTGATTACTGACAAATTAAAATAAAATTCACCCAAAGTACCTATACATTTTAAAGTATATAGAATCTTGTGGCAATGACCCTCTGTTGCTGCTCTGGGAAAGAGACCTGTACTATTAATGTAGGACGGAGCTTCGCTTAAACTCAGAGGCCCTAAACTCTGTTGCTCTGCGTATTGAAATATTTAATTTACTTGGTTTATTCTACCTTGTGCTTCTTATTAATTACCAGCATTACATTTTTACAACTTCAAAAGTGCTTGTCTTTGGTCATAAATGTTGGTCTATGTACTGAAAAAAATAATGCCATTATTTAAATGTGAGTGTTTAACTGTAGCCAACAGCTAGGGAAGCATAGTAGATTAGACCTTAGACCTTTAAAACAGAAACTCTAAAGGTCTAATTAGAGTTCTTTTCATTTTTCTATTTATTATTAGATAGTTTTGTAATGAACCTCTGGCTGTTTTTATTTCACATTTAGTATTGCAATATTTGGCATTAAAATAATATTAATGTAATATTTACTATACAGACATTTTTCTCAATTTATCCTTTCTCTCTCTCTCTCTCTCTGTATATATATATATATATATATATATATATATATATATATATACATACATATGTATACTCTTTCTTTTTTTCTCTCACTCTAGGCTATATGAAGGAAAGGAGCAGGCAGAGTTTGAGGACTCTCTGAAGGGCCTGTTTGAGTCCATCAACAACCTGATGAAGAGTGATTACACCACCACTTTATTACAGCAGGTGGGTGGATGTGTGTGTGTGTGTGTGTGTGTGTGCATGAAAGAAAGAGTGAGAAAAAAGAGAGTGAGTATTTGTTAATGCCTTTACATGCAACTTGCTTTTCTTGGTAGACTGTTTCATTGTTAGTAATTGAAGCACCTGTGCTTAGCCAGTTGTATGATTTCATCATAGCTCATTCTGGATTGGTCTAAGCAGTCTAAGAGAAGTAAAATTTTCTCAGCAGGTGAATCTCGTGTGCTAAAAGCACCAGGCTTTGACAGTTTAGCTCAGCTACCGTGAAAGCCAGCTTAACATAGTTTAATACAGACCCAAATAAAGACTGTGTGTGTGTGTGTGTGTGTGTGTTTATCTTTTTGTGTGTGCAGGTGGCAGCTCTAAAGTACTTGCCCGCTGTGCTGCAGGATATTGAGACTGTTTTTGATGCAAAGCTGCTCAGGTGAGTCTGACACACTTATGAACATAGAGATACAGAAGTCACACTTTCATTTAAGCTGTTCAGCACTAGGGCCCAACCAGTATATTGATTGACCTATGTGGTTGTCTAATATTGTAACAAACACAAAGCAGGATGTGGGTGGATGTAAATGTGAGTTCAGGTTTATTATATAAAACGATACAAAACACAGTCTACAGAAAGCAATTGGAGTAAAACAAAACAGAGCATAAAAACAGAACTAGAAGGAACTGGAAGCAAACTAAAGAAAAGAAAAGAACAAACAAAGCTAATGACAAATAAACACTAAACAAATACAAGGTAGTGGAAGTAAAACGCAGAAACGGATCTGGGAAGGTGGGACTAGAGAGTTTGTCTTCCAAACTCACCAGACACTGAATAATATTCCAAAAATTGAATGTGATCTTTTTCCTTCTGATAAAACTGCAGCTTCTCTTGTGTCCTTCTTTGGGCGTGTTGGAGCGTATCTTATCTGAGCCACCATCTTGGTTACTTTCCTTGGTGAATGCAGTATGAATGCTAATTTGTAAGGCAGTAAGAGGTTGCAGCCTACATTACAGAGAGAAAATTGCTTCTTTTGTGACATTATTCAAACTCGTTTAAAAATGACATGTGCAGCAACACCTTTTTTTTGCAAAAAAAACTTTTATTTCGGAATTTAATCCAAGTTTAATAAAAGAGTAAACACTGAAATGTGTATAATACAAAATGTGTCATTATAGAGATGAATGCAAAATCATGGAATACAAGCAGAGTACATTAACAGTGAAATCACAAGCGTATTGAGCGTATTTAAATGAGACTGTCAGGGATGATTTTTTTCTAAGCTTGCAGAGATCCTTCGTCCACACTTTGTCCAGTGAATAGACACAGTTGAGTAAATCAATAAAGAATAGGCAGACAGTGGTAAATTCTGTGACGTTTTAAAGAAGAAGAGTTTATAGCTGGAGCGTGATTTTGGATGCTCATCTATGATTCAGTTTAGTGCTCATGTCCCCCTTCCGCCTTGAGTTTCAGATTTATGCTGTTCAAATTGTCATCTAGTCCTCACCATATTGTTTTCAAGGACTTCTTAATGTCTTGTCACTAAGACTAGTGCTGAGACGCTGATGCAATGCATTGGTTTTATATACTATATATATTTCTTAGGTCCAAATGACACTCCACTGCATCCTTCTTTGGTTTGTTGCGGTTTGCCATAATTCAGTCAAGTGTGGAGCACACCTGATGGCAGATGCACTGCTACTTCTGCTACCAAGCACCATACTATTTTTAAATCTAAGGGGTCACTGTCCATTTATTAATGAAAGAATTTAAAAGTTTGCTCAGAGGTGATCAAAAATTCCTCTGCAGAGTAGTACAGTGTCTTTCACTCATATGGACGGTGAACATTTTCTCAGTGGAATTATAATGTTTAGTGGGCTATAAACCATAGCACAAACCAGACTTATGCCTATCATCTAATAGATGGATGGATGGATGGATGGATGTATGGATGGATGGATGGATGGATGGATGGACGGACGGACAGACAGACAGACAGATAGAACTTTATTGATCCCGAAGGGAAATTGCAGTGTTTCAGTAGCAAGATATAAAATTTCACATAAACTTACATATGCTATGCAGAAAAATGGAAATATAAATAGACATAAGTTAAGTACAAGAGTAGAAATAAAGTATATCTATTTGCATATTTACATATGAGACAGTTGTTGTATTTACATGATGGCAGGCACTGAGTGGTATGAGGTAAACTAAAAGCACAATGAGTAGGAATCTGCCTTCAAACTACCATGCAAACTGATGATGCAAACTGACTGACCACAGACCATTGTTTTTACTTGATATATAGGGGCAGAAAAATATCAAAACAGTGCTACACAGTGTTAACAAAACATGCTTTTTCTGACAGCAAACACTCATGGATATCTTCTTTACTTGCTATTAACTGCTTTAAACGGAACAGCCAAATACCTTTTAAAGATGGGATGCTGTAAACATTACAAGCTTCTTTCAATCCAGCAGCTATATCTTGCTCTCACACAAGAACAGGCAACTGATTCCTATTGGAAACTAGCTAGCATTTATCTTGATAAACAAAGGTTTGTTTCCTGTTGGACTGATAATAACTGATGCATGGTAATGCATGCACACGGCAGCATGGATAGCCAGCTAGTCTTAGGGAAAACAAATTAATGTTTTGATTACCAGCTTTTATCATTCACATCAATAGTATTTTGTCTTTCATATTTTGTATTGGACTTCTTTCCAAAAACATGACAAAGTGCCCTTGTTATGCCCTTCTGTTTTGTATTATATAACACAAATGAGGAGCCTTCGTAGGACAGCGTTACCAAGGACCCATCTTTCTTGGCTGAAGCCTAGCTTACAGAACACAGCTTATGTATCAAACAGACCATGTACTTCTGTGGTTGGAGCATCTGAGGCAAATTAGCCATTACCAGACACACGCACAACCACAAACTTTATTACTATGCGTCTGTCAAAGTCCTTCTCCGTATTCCTTAGCAAGTCCATGTCCTACATGTTTGAAACAGCAGATGTCAAACACAGGCCTTTTTGAAAGAAAAATGAAGCATGCCACTGAGTGTGAGCTTTTTTCACACAAACTAATTCATTCTAATTTTCCAAAGTGAGGGTCACAAAACACTTTTGATAGCTCCCCAAGGTCCTGTATTAGCATTATGTGTGCATTCAGGTGAAAATGAAGGTCATTGTCTTGAGAATCAACAAGTGGTAATGAAGTAGCAATTAACAAGAGGAAAGGAATGAAAGCTATTTGGCTCTTGGCATTGGACAGCACATGCATACAAACTCCTGCCTGCCTACCTATCCTACACAAACACACACAGAGGTGGTGCAAACCTGCAATTCCTTGCTCTTCACTTCAGGTGACTCTAATAAGGCAATGTTATATTAATTAGTGTAGCTCTAGCCTAATTAAAGGTGTGTTAGCCCAGCAATATGTCAGAATGGAGGATGAGGCCTGCCTGCTAATGCGCTGGCATTTTGGTAGCTGCTATTGCTCTGTTTTTTTAATGAGCCGGCCGTTATGTTAGACACTACAGCAGCTGGAGTTCAGAGCAGATGGCCGTCGTCCGGCTGTAGAACACACACACACCAGCCGTCTTTCACACAGCAGTTTTAACTTTACTGAATTCTAGTGCTGTCCGTAAATAGTTCAGTGCCCTTCAGAATTGATGATGATTATTTTGATTATGAGAAAAACAAAGGTAAACAAAGGTAACTCCACTGTGTGAATGTTTCATGATGAGAAATGGCTAACAATGTACATTTGGTGCATAAATGTACAATAAAGCGACAATATATTATTTGGATCTGATTTGGTTGTACATTGTGTATGTATATATGTATGTATGTATGTGCGTGTGTGTGTGTGTGAGTGTATTCAATTTATCACAAAACACAGGCCAATTACAGGCTTGATTGATAATGTTCAATCAACAGCGTTCGTCTTGGTCAAGATCAAGAAGGCAGAGTACCAACAACTGATCAGTACACAGCACTCTACAGAATACATCTCACTGGACTTGCTTTAGTGCTTGCACAATACAGTTTTTGATGTTCTGCAAAACACATTTTTCTTCTGCCTCTTTTCTCCTCTCCCTTCCTCCTCCGACAGAGAAAGTATGGGCTTTTGTCATGTTCTGTGGAGTTAGAGTACTATAGTTCTCAGCATGGGTCATATTGCTCCAGAACAAACCTTTGTTTTATTTTATGAGCATGCGGAGGTTCGCTGTGGTACTATAATTTGATGGAAATGTAAATCGTTTTTAATACAATATCCATGAAAGCCATTTAATTAATTGATGTGATAAACCTAACTGACAGACAGCTACACATCCACCCCCTCCCTTTCTAATGTTCGGTGATCATTAGTTTCATTCATTTTTCTTTGTTGCTGCATGTTTATATGAAATGACATGTCCTCTTCCTCTTGTTTTTGGTCCTTCCTGCTGTTTTATTGTGTATCAGCTTACTACTTTAGCTTATTATGCCATAATCATTAAGCAGGCAAGATTATTTCCTGTTGTACTGTTGCAACTGAAGTAATTTCAAAACATTCTGTCTCATAGATAGCTGGCCTAATTTGCGTTATAACACACTTGCCTCAATCCATGTCAAGTAGTCTCAAATAGACTTGCTTATGTGGTTTCCTATACTGCATGGCATGCTGTTTTCTGTAACATTTGAGTACATCACTGAAATAAAAAAAGACAGCAGTCAGAATTTCTTATTTTTGTATGATTTGACAGTGCCGTTTACACAATGCTAATTGGTGTGCATAAGCTTTTATTACTTGTTACTTGCTGCATTATCTCCATGTCTATAATGCAAAACTAAAGAAACTAACTTCAGCTGACTGGCTGTTAATAAATGCTTTCAAAAGGCACACTTGTATCTGACTAGCCAAATAGAGATAAGTAGATATAGCTCAGAGTATTGAAAACTAGTGTTTATCACATTTCCATGATATCAAAGCTGACAGTGACATAAACAATATTGTGCTAAATCGAAAATAAATCCCTGGTTTTTAGTCTGTAGTACTGAGACTATTAAGGTTTTAAATGCTTTCAAGAGTTGTGACCATTGTCTTCTTTCTTTTTCTCTTTCACTGTCTGTGTCACTTTCCCCGTCTGTAGTAAGTTGCTGTATGATTTTTACACCTGTATTCCTCCGGACAAACTGCAGAAGCAGAAAGTGGCCTCCATGACTGAAATCGTCAGCAGTCGCCTCTTCCAGAGAAAGGGTGAGCAGCTTCACACATCCATCCATCTAATCAACATTCATCAGCACTTTCTCTGCCCCAACTCCTCCTCATTTTCTCCTCTACCTTTTCTTTCGCCATCATCTTGTCTGACCCCATTATCCTTCCCTTTTCCCCTAGATTCTTTCTTTCCATCTTCCCTCCCCTCATTATCTTGCTTCCCCTGTGCTCTGTTCAATTTTACTTTTTTTCTTGCCATCTTTCTTTCATCATCCTTTCGTTATCTCTCTTCCTCTCTGCGCTGCACCATTATGCTTCAGTAAACAGTGTCCTCTGGCTTGGTCCTGTCCAATAGCCTGTTAAGTAGATGCTAATAGGTGATGAATGGAGTTTGTTTGTGGGTTTTAATAAAGAGTGTGATGACTTTGTTCGTGAAGCTTGGGATTTATAATGGCCTCATGGGCTCATATTCAGGGGCTTTGTTTCTGTGCATATGCCTCAGTGTGTATTTGCTTCACACCCCGTGACTGACATATACTGGAGGCCCAAGTGGAAAAAATTGCTACTCTATAGCTCCTTGCTCGGCAGAAGACATTGTACCCAAGCTACAGGGCTATAAGAAGCTCTTTAATGAAGCTAAAGCAGATTAAAGAGACATTTACCAGTCAGGGCAAGTAAATGCAGTTCAAAAGTCTAGGCATAAATCATGGCCAAATGTTCAGACACATCTGTCTGAGTGTATGTGTAATAAATACACACACACACACACACACACACACTCTTCGCAATTAACGTCCAATGAGCGGGTGTGTCCAGACCAGCAATTAGAATTAGAATGACATGCTGTAAGATTGTTGGTCAGTGGGTGAACAATATGATGCAATTTATTATTGTTGTGATAAATTACTTCATATTACATTAAAATATGGTTTTCTGAGCATATCGTAGCAAGTGATGCACAGCACTGATACTGACCTTAAACAAAACAGATATCGGCCAGACATGTCTAATACACATTCGATACCATCTCTCATGCTGCGTTCACATGTTTGTGGTAGACAGACGATGACAGACTGGATGTTCCAATATTTTCAACTGATCTGCAATGGAAAATTCTGTCACCGTCACAGGCAGCAGTACTCAGACTACAGCAGTGAGTAGAACGATCCTTTAAGAGTTCAGTTTTCCCAACTTTTTCCGTTGACTGCAGCAGTGGAATAAACCAGATGTTAATTTTTTCGGGAGCCATTGACGCCAAACGTCTCGTTGTTGAATTCCAGATGAATCCAACGTGGGATTCGGTGGATGCGTGACAGATGTGGAATAACATGAATGCAAATGTGAATGCAACATAAGCCGCTGTTGCGGCTTACATGAAATCAAACATGAAATCTGTCACAGTTGTTACTTTATGCTGCGGTAAGTCAGTATAAAAGCCCTGTGCAGGAACTTGTCCCTGTACTGTATCAGCTTCACTTCTGAAAAACTATTTTTTACATTTGCATTATTATTAATTTCAGGCTAAAAAGTTACAGTTAAATTTAATTTGAATAATGTGACTAAATATGAAGTGTATAATAAGGATCATCTTAAAAATCATCAATTTAAATGTCAGCTAACAAAACAAGCAGTACCACTAATGCTTGCTAATATCTGCAATTTGGAGGTATTTTAATGTTTGATAACAGCTGCAAGTAGCACAGTAACTTGTAGTATGGAGATGAAGTCTCAAAATTTTCTTTGAATGTTTAGATTTTACAACTTTATTGTTGCACTGAAAAGTTTACACTGGAATTATAATTGTTGTTTATTTCATTCTTGTTTTTCATCCTTATTAATTTTCATTTTTAATACTTTTTTGCTTTAGTTATAGCCTCATGTTAGACACAGTGTGGTAAACAGTATTTAAATAAAACCTTAAAAAAGCACAGATCAGATCTGTGCTCGGTATCGGCTAAGCAGAGGTCAGGTATCAGAATCGGTATCTGAAGAAAAAACTGGGATTGGTGCATCTCTAATCATAGCTATAGTCAATGCTTAAAGAACACTGAAACTGCATGTTTACACAAAGTGCATAATTAGTATTTTGAACCTGTGGCTCTACTGGGTCATTTTTCTCTGTACAACTCAAATACTGGAATACTTTTTGTATATTAACAAAATGTGTTTTATGATGATATATTTTTGTCATATCGCCCACACCTGGTGGCTGTCAGTCCCAGTTCCTGTGCAGTTTTGCATTTCCAAAAGCTGTTCAGCTCAACAGCTAGTTATCATATATTTGAACTTTATCAGGTGTGTTTATTTGTGGTAGACCAGTGATTCTCAACCTTTTTGAGTCATTTCAGATAGCAGACCTTTTGTGACTAGTTGTGCTTTTTGCTACAACTCACTGCACATCCACCTTCATACAGCTGCTCTCTGTTTTAACTTAGAATGAAACGTGTTATCTTTGTTGTGAGAGATGAAATGTTATTCTCAAAAATATGTAGAGAATTGAGAATCACTGTGTCAGAACATAACACACTCAGCTGTATATGTCTGCTGTAGGAGGCTCATAACATAAAACAGAAAGTTGAAGCCTTCACTGAAGGCCTACATCTGTGGTGTAGAGTCAGGCTGTGTTTTTGGTTTGTTTGGCTGAGGGTTGGAGGGTGGATTTTAATAACCTGTTTGAGAATCTGTTTTTCAGTTTTTCTCCCTCTCTCTGTAGTCTCTAGTTTTTCTGTTGCTCAGTGATTTCCTGCTTTTTGATCTTTTTCTCTTCTTTTTGGTCCTTCACTCCACCAGTCTGTTTCATTTGTCCCCTTTCATTTTCCAGTTTTTAGTTCTTTCCTTCTTTTTTCTCTCTCTCTCTTTCCTAGTGGTTTCCACCCCCCTACTTTCTCTACTTTCCATTCCTCACTGTCATTTTCTTCTCCTCTCCTTCTCTTCTTCCACTAATTCCCCCACTCTCTGTGATGAGTTTCCAGCATGTCACCATTTCACTCCCTCCTGTGGTTTTCTCTTCTTTTTCCTTCTTCCATCTCTGTCAAGTTGTCTCTTTCCCACTCTTTTCTTTCTTTATTCTTTTTTGCTATCCCTCCCCTCACTATATTATTAATCATTGAATGATTGATTCTCTCAGAGTGATTCATAACTGTACATATAAGTCACCACTAGCCTACATTGCCTTGCTTTGTACAGAAGTATAGTTACTACATATTATGTTTGTGGCTGACTGTTTATCTAAGGCCCCGTTCACACTTGGTATTAACCTGCATCCTGGGTGATCCAATCATAAGTGGACAGCGCTAAGTGCAGGTCCACTAGGTACAATGTGTCTTAGAAACACACTGTGATCTAGTTACTCAGACCACCTTAGGAAGGGGTCAGGGATGCATATGATCACATAACATTTGTAGTGTGAACTACAGCGTCTTGATACGTCCTCGACAGTGCCGAAGACGGCCCTAATCAACCACATCATTACAGCAGAAACGAAAGCTTACATGTCAAAAAATTGTGCCATAACATTTGCAGCTTTTATAGCACCATCGCTACATGCTCAATATCTTTACATCCAGCCCTGATTATATCAATACTGTTACTGATACTCCCTCAGAATGAACCTGGTTAGCTTTTAGTATGTTAAATAAATACTTAAGTGATTTTCAGTGTAATCTCTATCTGCACATCTGTAACAAAGATCAACCACAAAGTGTTTTGGTATGTTTCTCTATACTTGGAAAGGAACTGAAAACTGTTTACAAAAAGCACGCTTGGGCAGGTGCTGAACAGGCTGACCATTTCTAGAGTATTCCTTCTATTATTGCAAACCAGCAAAGAAAATATACTAATTTCTGTTAAAACAATTTGAAAACACTCCATTCTTCTTCAAGGATGCTTCCCTCCTGAGAGTGAAACTAATAGAAATTTCTGAAGTTTTCCTTCATGTATGAACTCCCTCTGCTCCTACTGGATCATTTGTCTCATACTTAATGACGCATGTCTCACAACACCACCAGCACATACCATATGGGGCTCATGCATTAAATGTTATATAGTTATAAATCAGGCTCTTTGCCTTCTGGTGATTGGCCCAAGGCCATCTTGACATGCCAACATTAGAGATCCTTTGCTTGTAGCTCCCTGTGCAGCTGTCTGTTTGCTCATTTATTTATCCACATACTCGTTTATTTATTTTTGAATTACCGCCACCCCTGCAAGCAGCACTGACAGGTATTTTAATTGAAATTCTCCCAGCATATTGGTCTGTATTGCTGTATGTTGTTTGTTAGACGAGTGAGATGGGCGAGGGACATTTATACCCTAATAGCCTGGTCAGCCTATCAACACCGACCAATACACATTTAATCCAACCAGAGTGGGTGAGGGAGCGAGGGATGTGAAAGTTCAGTTTGAACAAGTGTTAGAGGGAGGAAAATAGGAAGATGAATTGCAGTTTTGATTGTCACTGTTGATAAGTAGGCTGTTGAACAATATGTTGAACTGTGATTGTGGTAAAAAAAAGATCCTTTGTACAGTCTCCAGTTGATGAATATAAGTAGACCCTTGCTGCTTGTCTTTTAAACACAGAATCATTATAGATGTTGTATAAATATGCATATGCGCTATACACTGTACACTGATTTTTTTGTCCAGTCATGCATGCAGTGCTCATAGAAAACTCAGTAATAGTTATCCCCTATACTTATGGGATTATGAAAGCATATGCATTCCTGCATGTCATCATAGTCACACATACATACTCACTGACACCCAGGCACATACACTCACAGATGCATTTGACAGGTTGTTATCTGATTTAATTTCCACTTGGAATGAAATTGAATTCATGAATATAATATGAGGCCAATTAGCTCAAATTATTCCACTGTCACACACTAATGTCTGACAGACTGAAATCATTAAAGCATTACAAAGAAATTACACAGTTGTTATTGAGCTCAGAGAGAGCTCTTCTGATATTAATTTCAGGACACAGCGAGGAAATCAGTTATACTGTACATTCAGTTTGCCATTGAAAACATATTTTTAAT